TTTTACTAGTTTTTCAAACTACTTAGGATAAATCCAATATTACCAAGTGAATTTATAGTGAAAATCTTCACATATTTCTTCATCTGTAGGGCCAATTAGATGGGGATCCAGGGGGGGGCCATTGGGCTCAGGCCTCAAAGCTCAAAGGGGATCTCAAATTTAGACACTACTTTTTTGCATTTGTTAAGTTTTCAAATTGTTTTTATGTGCCTCCCAATCAGAACAAAATGTGACACACGCTCTCAGCTTAGAGCCAGAAATTATACATACAATATAAAAGGCCACTCATGGGCCAGTGGGGGATATTTTTGTTGAAAAAAAACTACCTAATCCAGTTTTTCTTAATTTGAACTGAAATTTTTTGGATATGTTTACTGGCAAAAAAGAAGGCATTTCCCACATTCTTTTAGCACTGGGGCTGCAAAAAGTGATTTGAAGATGTAAGGTGACTGAAATCTGTCAGTGCATTACTAGCTTAAAGGCCAAGTACAAGAAGCATGGAAGTCTCCGAATGACATGCACAGGTATTCAGGAACCATTTAGAACCACCTTGATAGATATGGTGCAGTGAGCTGAGTACAATATTATGGCTGTAGCTGCTTTCAAAGTGTTTTTGGCTGCTCATCTACTGCTAACTAGCTTAATGCTTTGACCTTCCCTACCGATTAGCAGGTGAAATTGTTCGTATCTCAATGAAAACTACACATAAAAAAAGATGATAGTAGAAGCATAAAAAGTTGCCAACTGCTTAATTAATGATGCTGAAAATGTGGCTTTATTGATATATAAATTTACTCCAAATGGGTAGATCTTAGTACAAGCTAGTATGGAGACTTGAGGATGTTGCATTTCACTTAAAAATTTATCAATTAACAAACAAAAACTTGCATCAAAGTTATCTTGACGAGATATATTCAAAACCACTCTCTTGGAATTTCCAGATTGAACTCACTTTTAACATTCAACAAATTGTAGTGTAAAGACACCCACTGGCTCCTGAGGGACTTGTTAAATATTCAAATTATGTTTCACTTTTCTTTTAGGCTAATGGTTGATGTGTCATCACTTTTTCTTTTATTTTTATATATTATAGCTAGGGGACTCAAAAGATAGAAGTGAACTGGGCCTCTCTGAAACTCTGAGAGGGCCTGTTCATCTATTATTATAAAAGAGTTATACTCACCCACAGCTGCCTCATCATCCAATGGACCTTCATAAAGCATTTCCATACGGTACTTTTGAGCAGTTACAGGTGATGGTAAGTGAATGGTAATCATCTGAAGAAGGGAATCACCTGCAGGAAGCCAAGTGCGCATCACCACCTGAAAGTAGCAGTGTCCAATATTAAGCCATGTTGAAAAATACAAATAAAAACATATTTCTTGTAGAGAAGTAACATATTATCACAGAATTTACAAAATAATGTTTAACCCTTCATACTCGAGCCTGGCTCTTTAACTTATGTCACACACAACTTTTCAGTGTTATGTTCAAAATTTAACCCTTTTAGACCAAGTACATTGAGTTATTACAGGATTAAAATGACATCAAGTTTTGAAAATGCAAGTGATCTATTCCCTCAAATTACCTCCAAAATAAAATCATAACTTAAGTGTTGAAATTTTTTTTTTTTCTTTATGTACATTTTATTAACATTTGTTTTGGATGAAGTACTTTAAAAAAAAAGTCTTAAATTTCACTTTTTGCCCCTGTTGTAGTTATAATTTAGATGGTGGAAATCATTCATTTTCTGTCTGCACAGAAACATATCATTAATGAACAAAACTAAGCCACAAATCTGGTAATTTTGCATTTATTTAATGCCATTTTTAGTTCAAATAATTTGAAAACAGTGAATTTTAGAAGTTGGTGGAGTTAAGAACTGCAAAAGCAAACTATCCACATGTTCGATTTTACAACTATCAACCAACATGTAGGTTCAAGAAGTCTTGATAGAAATGAATAAAAACCCTATAACCCAAGCGCTTTCGAAAGGTGGACCTTTCTTCTTCAGGGGCAAACTGAAGAAGAAAGATCCACCTTTTGAAAGCATTCAGGTTATAGGGAGTTTATTCATTTCTAAGCTGACAAAATTGTAAGTATACCTGAAATCTGAGATCATTTTCTTTTTCATAACCTCTTAGCCACAGGTCTACCTTACTTCTTTGTGTAGTTACACAAGAATGCTAAACTTTTAATGAAATTTTGAGGTGACTTTATGGTAAGTAGGACATTTGTATTAAAGTTAGTAATAGTTTTATATTATTCGTAAGTCACAGAAAGATACCAAGTTAACTCAGTTTATTTTGCTTAAGTAATCACCTTGATAATTAATTTTCTGTTTACAAGAACACAAGTTTTGTATCAAGGCTATCAACAAGTTCATCACTAGGATTATACTTTGTCCTCAGGCAAAAATACAGAGCCATTAAGTATTTGGAACACACAAATAAGTTAGTACAAAAGGCCATAGATAAGTTTTATATATGAAATAATCAAAAACCATGGCAAAAGGGTTAATGCAAGTAAAGAATAATTGATATTTTAAAAATTATACTTAATGTAAAACCAACACAACTGCCAGTCAGTCACCACTCTTGGTTCATTGTTAGCAAATAAGAATTTGATAATAATCATGTGATCTGAAATGCAAGGAGTTGATTTGTCAATCAGCCAATACTATATACAGTTGTCTCACACAATTATTGTCTCATTTGCCACTTTGAAGTGAATCATGGAATTTGTCCTATGACCATTCAGGTACCATGAAAAAAACCTTACAAAAAACATTTGAATTTTTCATGCATGTAAAATCACAGAATACTGTCATAATTTGCTACACATGTTTCAAGGTATCATCAGAAGAACCTCTTTCCAACCAGTATTGTTTTCAAGTGTTGACCAAATATAAATATGGATGCTCATATGTATGGGATACACTTGGGAGACACATTGCATTCAATCAAGCTTCCACATACTAAAGACAGCTTCTTTCAGAACAATAGTCAAGGATGCTAGGGGACTTTACAAACAGTAATGTTAAGCATAAAACACTGATGGAGAGCTGTTTATGGTAACTATGCTTCATAATGAAGTGTGGAAATGTAAAAGCATTGCTACAAAATGTTTACAAGGTAAGACTGAAAGGTAATAATCTGAATTTCACATCATATTATAGATTATCAGATGTTTGATTTACATAACAATAAACTAAAAGGAGGAACTAACATTAGTTTCTAAAAGTGGTTTTGCTGTGTCATAATATAAATTTTACTAACTATTTTGTGAAATATATTTTTAACCCTTTCGCAACGGGTGGGTCTAACAGCTCATGTCACAGTCTGTTAGGGATTTATTTTCAAAACTTCATTATGTAGTACTATTATTATTATTATATATCAATGAAATTGACATCAAAACATTGCTTATATTTCAAATTTTTACATTATGTATGTTTTAATTTCTTAATTCTAACAATAATATAAATAAAATAAAGCTAAATATTGATTTGTGTGTGCCACATAGCACCTCCTCATGTCTTGTTGCTCAGTTTATATTTTTTTATGACTACAAGTGATTAATAAATAATAGATTTGTGCTTTGTATTTGATTCTGTACCTTGATTCTCTGTGTGTGTGTGTGTGTGTGTGTGTGTGTATTTATTATAAATGATTATTACTTACTTCAAGGTAGGGGTCAGTAACAACTCAAGGTGTTTTGCAATGGTAAGGGAACTTATAAAATACAATTTAGCCGCAAAAGTAAGAATGTTTTCCAAAGAAGACTAGACTTATGTTATAAAGCTTGCCAAACTAAATGAGTGTGATAAGTAGTACCAACCAGGGAAATAGGATTTTATAAGCATGTGCTCAAATAACATCTTTGTACACCTATGCTGCTAAATTCCAAACACCCCAAAAGGATTACAATACTCAAAGAATTGCAGTGTTTATTGTATCAGCACCAAACCACATAATAAATGTTTTGACAGGTTCAAAGTGCAGTGTTGTTACTCTTGAAAAGTCTTGTTGTGAACACTGTAGGATACGTACATAAGACAATAAATTACACATTCTGTTGTTGGCATAAACTTTTTCATTGATTCTAAGTGCAGTGTAATTATTCTGAATTTTCCAAGAAAACATTTTAGCATATATAATCTGACATATTAAACATCCAGTTCTTGGAGCAGGGGATCAAGTTGACTATCTTTTCGTGCATGCTTTGTTGCTTTCAGGAGTATCATATTATGATGGTGTCACGTAAACAGTCTACTGATACAAACAGCAACTCATTGGTTTATTTTCAGTGGGGTTCTACTTTAGTCACTGACAGTAAGATAAGCACAGAAAATAAATGTGAAATGTTTAGCAGTTCAAACTCGTACGAGAAGTACTTTGAAACTTCTTGACCAATAATAACAAAAAAAAAAATTGCACAGCTGTTCCTTTATTTCTAATTTTACAACTTATCTACAGGCTGAAGACTCAAGTATATCATCAAATAACTGATAGGATACAGTTTCACTGAAAACAAATGTTTGAAATGTATTTAGGAGGTTTTCAAGATTACACAAAAGAGATTTTTGGACTGAAGAATAGTATTTTTAATCATAACATGAAAATCACTTCCACATGGACTAGTAATGAAACAGGCTTGATATATTCACAAACAAATCTTTAGTAAAAATACTTCATTAAAAAAATTTGATTTTTTGAGTACAAATGACTTGTAATGTTTACTGAAGATATACCAAATTTTGTGAAGATGCACAGACTGAATTAAAAGTTATAGTATAAATACTTAACATGTGCAAATGGGTATACAAACTCGTGTATATTATACTGAGCCCGTTGCTAAAGGGTTAATAGTTCACACATAACAAGCAAATACAAAATATCCCCAAGAAAACTGAAGGAGTTTGTAACTTTAAAATATGATATGTTCTATATTTTAAAGCTTATTGTGAAAATTGCCATAAAAAGTTTATTATAATAGTCCACTACTAAAGAACGAGTAAATTTATTACCTTCAGAAGATTCTTCCCATCTTTATCTTTATCCTCTCCTTTCAAAACAATATTCAGTTTCTCTAATAATTTAGTTGTTTCTTCCTTCTTGTAATTCATAATGGCATCAAACACCTAAACAAAAAAAAGAGGGGGAATAGAAATTTGAATTTTATTAAGAAGTATCAAAGAAATGAGAAAAATTAATAAAGTTCATTTGTCAAATTAAAGTTAGCATGTTCAGTTCTCGATTTAGAAGTTCCAGCATTATAAATTATGCAACTTTCTTGTACCATTAAGACACAATTAACATGAATCCTTACCTTACAACTAAACCACCTGAACAATGCCATAATGAAATGAGAATGTTACACCCCAGCTCATGTACAAATGAGTTTTTAAATACAAATGTTTCCTTCTACTTGGGAGAAAAACAATATAAAAAGGAAATTTAATCTATGAAACAATGGAAATTTCTGTGTACTTCTAAACACAAAACTTCATGCTCTTCCAGCATTACAAAACCCTTTAATACCACAGATGATAGTTCAGTTCTTGAGGCAGGGTTTTAGTCTAATCCTAAAAATAAACTTTTATGATATTTTAGCTTTCTTCCTACCCTATTACTTATTCTGTTGGACAGAATACAATCTTAAGTAAGAATACATTAAAAATTGAGATAATAAGAAGGATTTACATTAAGGAAAGTGTTATATCGATAGACAGTTTTTGAGCAAATCTTTTTGAAATAGAAAAATTAAACAATCACAGTCACATTACAAAAAGCTAAAGTAGCAATACATGCACTCTTTGGAATGGGGTTGAAACAATCTTTACTGAAACAACAAGTTTAATAATTTCAATAGAAATATTCAAAGGAGTAATCTAAAAGTATAATCTCTTGAACAACTTAGTTCATGCACAGAAAATAAAGAAACAAATTTACACTTGAAATTCACACCTTATAAATGGGGTCCAGTACAAACATTGTGAAAGCTCTCTTGAATCCTTCACCAGCTTTTTTACTCCATTTCTTTGTCTGTGGGTTGTAATAATTCTCTCCCCACAATTTACTCATTAATTTGTCAATGTCAATTTTAAACTTTTCAGCATAGAGTTCTGAAAACTGTTTAAGAGTAAAAGCCCAACCATGTAGACCAGAACCAAATCCAACACTTCCTTTCATTGGATCCACCTGAAATTCAGAAATTAAAAGTATGAAATAATAACAAACTTGCTTAGGACTATGGTAAAAACTACCATATTGGTAATTCTAAGAACCCATGAGTTAAAACAAAGGAGAATACGTTATAATAATATCAACCACACTAGATCTACCACATCCAGTGCTAAAAAGGCCTTTTTCCCAATATCAGGGCTCATCAAGCCAGCTGAAATAAGACAGACATGATGGTGGTATGTACACCAAGTTCAAGAAACAAAGGTCTTTTCATTACATTAAAAACAGTAAAATAATTTTGAATTTTAAATGAGCTAGAAAAAAATCTCACCCACACCATGAAAACAAATGATTTTTAAATGTAATATTCCCTTACTTTTTCAAATTGCAAAACTAAACACAGGTACCAGTTTTTACATTGTCAGTATCCCAGGATTAACAGCATCCAAAATTTAATGCTAAGTTTCTTAAACTCGTTAAATTAAATACAGACCTTAATATCTCCCATTGGTCCTGTCTCATCACTATATGTGGCAATAATAACATTGATGTTTTCAATATTTCTCTGGAATGTTTGATAGAGCTCCTCAGCCTCTAGCTGTAAAGTCAGAAGGGCCAAGTCTACTTTGTTCATAAACAGAACAGGCTTAATTCGTTCTGCAATAGCCTGACGTAACACAGTTTCTGTTTGAACACATACACCTAAACAACAAAACAATATTTTATTTAACATGAAAATTAAAATTCATCAAACACTGTACACAAGTCCAACAGGAATATCAGACCATGACAATTTAACTACCAATTCCACATATTTTCTTATCTTAGAAATGTAAACTACTTTCTACAATCAATGCTTTATAACAAACAACACATGTTGAAGTTTAATGAAATATCAAATTAAAAAAATGCGGAAACAGAAATTATCACTTCTGAAAACAGATGATGAATGCATCTTTCAACATATATATATATACATTTTTTTTAGCACAACAGCAAGTAAACTAATGTATATGAATAATTCCAGTATATCTGTTTGTTCAGAAAAATGAAATCATGATCTTAAAAACACCATGAAAATATATTTAAAATTACATTTTTTGTGAAAAATGATAAGTGAAAATAGACTCCTGCAACCATTACTTGAACCCAGGACCACTAGTGAAAGAGCATTTATTTTCACTTATAAGCCTTTTCTGTTAAAAAATTTCATGTTAAAGATACTAGTTGGTATGAGCTTTCAGAAGCAGTTCTATTTATACATACTTAGGGATTACTATATTCCCTCTAGTGCAATCTGAACATACAAACCTATATTGCCATGATAATTATTGTTACATTTACAACACAATAACTAAAAGTAGATTCTTATTCAAATCTGAAAACATTTTTAGGGTCCTTTCAGCAGAAAAACTTTACTAATTAAAAACTACTGTTAGATGTCTATGCTAACATGATAGTGAAGTTTTAAGTGCTGCTGCCCTTTATAGCCAAAATGAGCATGAATTTAGTAACAAACACATAACCTTTAATGGCTGACCAGGCCAGGACCATCATCAACTTTACTCTTAGAAAGTGACATCCAAAACTAACTCAATGAACATTAATTAGCCATTTTAGCACAAAACAAACTTAACAAGAAATATATCTATTATATTTTGTTTATTTATCATTAGTTTTAGTTTTGTGACATAGAGACCTAATATATTCCTTAATTCACCATACCCTCAGCTTTGGACAGCAGTTTTGTCTATTCAAGGCTCATCAGCAAACCAAAGAGTTACAGTTAGGACTCTAATAACTCACTATAAAATCCCATAAATATCATATACACATACTACTATTGTGTTTTTATCTATAATATCAATTACCTTAACCATATTTTTCATCTTTTATTTTAATAACCCAGAACAGCACATGGCTCATATATTAAATTTACAAACTTAAGGTAAATCTTTACTTCATCTTTGTCAACTCGTATAATAGCATCAGGCCAGGAAAACTCATCATCAGGTGCAAAGATTTCCACTTATCTGACAACCTTTCTGATTGGATCACACAGCTGAATTACCTTACACAGAAATAAGCTAACTTAAATTATGTGTTACATAGCAGAGCTGGGCAACTGACTGATTACCTATGACCAGCAATTAAAATTAACAAGGTAACAAAATTAGTGTTTGCAATTATTACTGTTTTGGCTTTTTCCAAAAACCGATTAAGCAAAATTACAATTAAATCAACTCGCATAAAAATAACTAAACTAACTGAAATTACAGATAAATTGACTGTTATGAAAATAATCAATTCATTTCAATTAGGATTTCTAGTTATTACTATTTCATTCAAGTAATTTAGATATTTCTATTATGTTTGTTTTTAAACAAAAAAAAGCTACACAGTGGGCTAAATTTTGAATTATTTTGTCTTCTATGTGAAACTGCTGGCTAGAGGGAAGGCAACTACCTGGAAGAACCTTCTGTCAAACTTTTTTTTTTCTTCTTCAACTGCTTACTAGTGAAAAAAAAAGGCATATGATGCCACCTGAAGCCACCTTTTTTTTGCTTATATGAACCATGATTTGAGATACACTGCACTAGCCAATTAATCAAGTTAAATTGATTAATGGAGATCATCAATTAGCAAATACCACTAAACAAATGAGTATGTTATATTAACCCTATCACCCGAGGTATCCTTTATTGTGCATGACACAAGGTTTTAGTGTTGTACATTCAAAATTTTATTAAACTACTTTTTGTTAATGTTATACCAATTGGAATAGCATGAAATCTTAGTTAATAATCCATATTTTAACAGTATACAAATTTTAAGTTCTTAATTCTACAAGGCAATATTTAAAAAAATCCTGAATTCCAACTAGTGTGATCCACATGACACATTTTATCCGCCAGCCCTCGAAAAAGTATGAAATTAATCATAAAATACTCTCAATAAAATTATTATTGCTCAGACAAACCACAATTTCTATAGCCTTCAATTTTGTTTGGTTACAAAGCTATTGAATTGCAAATTAGACCTTCTGCCACACCCACCTGTCACATCCTCTCTTTTACAATTCATTGATAGTTCTCTCTTACGTTTGATTATATATTACCTACAACCAATAGAAAGTCACGGTTTTCATCTATCAAATAGTGTATTGTATAACGTCGTGTTCTGAACAGATAACTGTCAATTTCACACGGAGTAGTAACATTGTTCCTGTGGGAAAGTTAACGACTAGCTTGGATGAATTTGTAACGGTTTTTGTCACATAGTTAGAAAGCCAGGAAAATTTTTAGAAGTAAGTGAATTTGTCTACTTTTTGCCTGTTATTAGTCTATATTCTTTGGTGTATTATTTAATTAAATAAAAATTGTTAAGTGCTTTACTATAATCACTAAAAAAAATCAGGCTTAACTCTCCTTGACAAATGAGGGCAAGAAAAAAGAAGATTGAATAAGTACTTTATTTCTTGTTTTTCATATTGATCCTTTATTATTATAAAAGTAACTAAAATTAAAAGCACAGATCTTTTTAAGGTGTAATAATAATAATAATATAATTAAAATGGTTAATGAGGCACGCATGTGAGCAGCTCGTGGTTATGTAATACAATAGTGTAATCTGAGCTGCACATTCCCCCGAGTGATTTACAACTTATAATGGCACAGATAGTAGTTCAATGGGTAATAAAACAATAGAATTTAATTATCAATAGATGTATACTGTTATGAACTTAGAGATATTTAGGATAAACGAATGTAGTTTCATGTTACAATTTGAAATCATTCTAAAAAGAAAAGAAGGTTAATTTAGATTTATTTTAATTTTTTTGGTGGTTACGAGGTCAGTCGAATTGACCGATTTAGTGAAAAAAAATGTTTGAAATGCATTTAGGAGGTTTTAGGGACAACATAAAAGAAATTTGAGATTTTTGAGATGACGAAAAGTATTTTCAATTTTAACATGAAAATTACTTCACTAAGAAATATGACTGTATGTGAAAGACTTGTAATATTAACTGAAAGACTGCCAAATTTAGTGAAGATATACCCAATACATAAATATATAGTTATAAGTATTAAACTTATATCAACTTTAGATGAGTACAAAAGATCACGTGACTCGATCAAATTGACCGACCCTGTGTTGAGAGAGTTAAAGAGATACTGCACAGGACAAAGTCAGTGATCAGAAAAGTGGATACAAGGGTCAAAGTAAGATCTACTTATTATTAGGCCACTGTTCTTCACCCTTTGTACCATAAAACAGGCCTTGACAAGTATTTTCAGATCTAGGAGTCAGTCCAAAAACCCAGGAGCCAGGTGTGCCTAACCTAACTTCAATATTGTTTGTATCGGGAAATCAGGGTTTGTACATTTATTTACTTTCACAACAACAAGTGCATGCTAACAATCACGATATCAACAACCACTTGATAGTACTGCTTGAACTATCTGCCTTTCATCCCATCTGAGCCTAAACAAAATGGCGTGATCTTAGTAATGTGCTATACAACTGCAACGCTTCATTCCTGAAAATACATAAAGAAGTGCTCAATCTGCCATTAAAATCCTCGAAACAAAGTTTGATTTAGAACTCAGAGAACACAAAAATAGTTCAGGACTTCTACAAGTCCAGAACCATCCTAGAATCAAGTTCTATTTAGTACAACACTGTACACAAATAAAATGGGAGAAAATACAAGGTGCCACGATGAAATTTTTTGTCACCATGGCGACCTGGCACCCAAAATTTGTCGAGGCCTCCCATAAAGTAACATCAGTTTTGGAGAGAAATGAGGTATGGGTTCACCTAGATAAGGTTTCCAGTCATACCTCCCATTAAACCATCACATATCTCAAGCAGTTGGAGAATGAAATGGATATTCATGCCAATCCATAAGACAACATATTGGAGTAACACTTCTTGACTTCTGAGTGAGTGACTCTTGAAACAGTCACTGGAAAATCATAATTCTCACACACAGTTGGTGGGTTATGGAAAGCATGCAGGAATAGGTGATGTGCTATGAACGCAACAGCCTTAAGACAAAGTCTTTTGCAATAAAAACTATGTTGCAAGACTATCATCAAGAGTTACAATCACCAGATAGAGTATGACTGCATGTGGTGACATGGTGAAACTCCAAAATTGTTTTAATATAATGTACTCAATCCTATACACTTGTTACAAAACATATGTGACCCAAACTTAAGCATGTTCAACACAATCAATCATTCTACCAGATGCAAACATTAAACATACATACTTTATTTTACCAAGAACATTTAATTTTTTTCTCCAAATTAATTGTTTTGCATCAAGGTATTTGCTGAAAAACTCTCAGACAAAACAAAACATAGAATTCATCAAATACACATCAGTTTCAGACGTGGTTCTATTTATAGATTAAATATCAGTGACAAGAAGTTTGTACCCAAACACACTGCAAATGTCAATATTTCATCTATTATCAAAATGTTATCAGATTTAGACTTACCGCTAACACAGTCTACAACAACCAGAGCTCCATCCGTAACACGTAAGGCAGCTGTTACTTCAGAGGAAAAGTCCACATGGCCAGGAGAATCAATCAAGTTTATCAAGAAACCCTTTTCACCTTTTTCTCTCTGGTTCTCCCATGTAATAAATTGCAAGTCTTTTTCTTCCAGTTCAAAGTACATTGACAGAGCCCTAAAAAATAAAATCTATGAGCATCTGATAAAAAAAACATACAACTTTCAAATTAAGTATCTTTGTTTAACCTTATTTCTAAAGGCCTTCCTATGGTCTCAGATCAAAGACCATGTCATCATATTTGTAGACTCTCATTCAAAATTTATTGAACTACTATTTTATGAATGTACATCAATCAGTTTGGTATCAAATTGTAGATTATAATTTAAATTTTAATATTATACATTAGTTAAATTCTTAATTTAAAAGTAGATAATAATAATAATAAAAATCCAAAAATCAATTTTTGTGTGTCACTTAGTATGTTGAATACAACACTGGTTAAAATTAGATGTTTGTGATGTCCAATTACAAAGTCTATAGTTTCTTATGAATTAGGAAATCAGATTACAGATATTGACAAGCTAGAATATCAAATAAGTACCTCATATATTTTCTACTTGCTGAGGGATCCCTACAGGTACTGAATAAACACAGTGGCCACACCCACATCTTTTCATTTTTGGAAAGACATGCTTACTTACACTTCTGTCTACGACCTGTGACTAACCAATCTAAAGCTCAGAATGTCCCCTAGTGGCTTTCTCAGCATAATTAAAGTATTCAGTACCAAACTCATTCTTTTAAAGCTTGAATTCGAAAAGGTAATGTGAAATTTTAGTTAGCTCGAAATTTCATATTTTTTTTACCCAAATACATCTTGGTTACTAAGTTTGATAAATTATAGTGGAATTCTATGATATTGATATAGTAATTTATGATTTTTGGTTATTTCAAAATGTATATATAAAACTTTAAAAAATTATTTCATTTCACATCCTCCATGTGCGAATTTTGATAAGGCTTAGCAACCTACGGCAAACAGCAAAGTTCAAAGTTTGTAACTAGAAAATAATTATTTTCAATAATCATTTACTGTTCTATGTTTTAAAAAAATAACTGAAATTTAAGAACTTGTTTTACATAGTAATAATGTATATACATGTAATGTTATAAAACTAAAATGTGACTATTTTACAAAATACTAGTTCACTGAAACACAGCCAAGACAGGTCACTATGTAAAGGTCAGCTTTATACTCTTGGATACAGACACATCAGTGCACGTGCGTCATATCATTGCAACTTCAATAATGTTAGCCAGGCATGGCTAAAATGTCAATATAATAAAAATAATAAATATATATAAATATATAATGTTATGCAATTTAAGCTATATAGACTAAACATTTGTGTTTTCATGTTATAATCTGTAGTAATTCTAGAATGAAAAAAGCATAATTTATATTTATTTCCTAATTTTTTATTGAGGTTATGAAGTCAGTCAAATTAAACCAACCCATACAGAGAAACAGTAGTGAAAATAACAAATAAACTTGTTTTTTTCTAAAAAAAAAAATTACAGTTAACTGGAAGTTGTAAAGATTTTGCATGTGTAATTTGAAAATGTTCTATTGCATAGAATATTTTTAATCTTAAAATCAAAATTACTTTGTATGTTGGATAGTCAACATTCTGAGAGAAAAGTTTTAATTAAAAAATCTTATTACTTAATGTAAAAACCTGATATTTTCTGAACAAATGCCTTGTAATGTTTACCAATAACCTGAAAAATTTTGTAAAGATATGCATACATTATCAAAAATCATAGCATAATTACTCTCATGGATACTTTTGTGGTTACGGGCTGGGTCGATTACACCCAGCCTGTAATGGAAGAATTAAACTATCATTTGTTATTTCACTAAAATGTAAGTTAAAAACAAATTCACATCACAAATTATAAAAGCAATTCACTAACTTGCACTAACATACCACTTAAATGACCTAATACAACAAATCTATTTACTGATTTCCAGTATTTTATGATCAAACATGTTGGTATAAATACTAAGTAATTTGAAATAAATGCTCATGTTTGGTGTTTATACATTATCATAGTGAGCAACTAACTGGTACGACCAAATGCTTAGTTCTTCTACCAAACATAACTTTGGCCAGTCTAGCATTTCAGGGATTGAATGATTCATCACTTTTAAAACAATGTATGATATTAGTGTCTGTGTGGCAGTCAAACAGTTGAAATTGATACTATTTACCAGGAACATTATAGCTAAAACATATTATAGATAGCATAAAGTTACAAACTAACTCACAGAAAGTCAACTTAACAATAACTTCATTAATGTAGAATAGCAATAACACCAACAGTTTTAATGTATTATTATAATAGTAATAACACTCAATAACAAGTTTTAATATTCTTTATATACATTTGGTGTTATTCTGTAAGTGTGAATCTAAATTATTTTACACAGATCTGTGTATCTACCTACTATTATGTACACTTCAGTTGCATAAGTGATTAATCTATTAAATTGTAATATTTTCCAAAGCACATGATCCTGGATTTGATTATCAAACAAACAAATCTAATCCAAATGAAATAATTTTAGTATGCTAAATGAATAACACTATTTTCAAAGCAATAATCTAAATCCATCAGATAATTATAATCAGTCTTTTACTATATAATTAGTCTACAATAACCTTAACTTTTAAAAAAACTTAATTTTCACACATTACTGATTTCTTATTCACAGTTGTGAGAAAAACTATTTATTAAGCCTAAGTATTTTTTGTTTGGCATTGTTGTAAGACCACTCATATCAGTATATCACATTAAAGTTATGACATCAGTTAATTAAAAAAGGCATGCCGCAATGTTTTACTATTTTATAGCATTTTTTCAATCAGTACTTTGAGTTAACCCTACTGAATTGGGTTTTCATATGGTCATGGGTCAAAGGCCATGTCATCACATTTGTAGACTACTGTTTTACTTAACTATTTTATGAATGTATATCAGTAAGTTTGGTATCAAAATGTAAATTATAATTCAAAGTTTAGTGTCATATATTAGTTACTTTCTTAATTTAAAAGTGAATATTAAATAAAATCCTAAATATCAATTTTTGTGTGTCATGTGGTATGTTGAATGCAGCATTGGTTCAGATTAGATGTTTATAATGTCCAAGTACAAAAATTTATAGTTCCTTACAAATTAGGAACTCAAATTACCAATATTAAAAAACCAGAATATAAAATAAGAATCTCCTATCTTTTCTATTTGCTCATATATTGATAGATTTAGTGAATCAAACAGTAGCCCCGCTTACTTCATTCCATTTTTGGAAATGCTTACATACACCTACTTCTGTCTATGACATGCAAATAACCAATGAAAAGCTCAGAATGTTCCCCACATGGTTCTCTGAGTCTTTGCAAAGTACTTACGAGGGAAACCCTTTCTTTTCTTGGTAGATTCGAAGTGGTAAGGTAAAACATTATCTGACTCCAAAAATCATATTTTTTTAGACCCAAATACATCTCAGCTACTAAGCCTGACGAATTATAGTGGAATTCTGTAGTATTGATATAGTAATTTATGATTTTTTGTTATTTCCAAATTCATATATAAAACATGAAAAAAATTGTTTTTCATTCTCCACATGCAAAATTTGATAAGGATCAGCAAATTACGGCTAGCTGCAAACTAGAAGAGATTATTGTTTTCTATACTTATTTATTTACTGTTCTCTGTTTTAAGA